GTAGCCTATCAGAATCAGACTCCAGATTTGCAGCAATGTAGCCTATCAGAATCAGACTCCAGATTTGCAGCAATGTAGCCTATCAGAATCAGACTCCAGATTTGCAGCAATGTAGCCTATCAGAATCAGACTCCAGATTTGCAGCAATGTAGCCTATCAGAATCAGACTCAAGATTTGCAGCAATGTAGCCTATCAGAATCAGACTCCAGATTTGCAGCAATGTAGCCTATCAGAATCAGACTCCAGATTTGCCGCAATGTAGCCTATCAGAATCAGACTCCAGATTTGCAGCAATGTAGCCTATCAGCATCAGACTCCAGATTTGCAGCAATGTAGCCTATCAGCATCAGACTCCAGATTTGCAGCAATGTAGCCTATCAGAATCAGACTCCAGATTTGCAGCAATGTAGCCTATCAGAATCAGACTCCAGATTTGCAGCAATGTAGCCTATCAGCATCAGACTCCAGATTTGCAGCAATGTAGCCTATCAGCATCAGACTCCAGATTTGCAGCAATGTAGCCTATCAGCATCAGACTCCAGATTTGCAGCAATGTAGCCTATCAGCATCAGACTCCAGATTTGCAGCAATGTAGCCTATCAGCATCAGACTCCAGATTTCGGGAGTCGCAGAATCTAAAAATTCGAAAGTGTTAAGTTTAATTTTTTTTTAATTTAAAAAGTTTTATTTTCTCTCTTTCGCAGCGATTTAATCAAAGACATGGAATCAGTAGGTGTTTAGGCCCTACTTCATGCTGAAATGGTTCATTAGCATGTTACCAACGTATTTTAAACACCTTTACGATTCAAAAATTCAGATTGCATCCGGATATCCGGATTAAACTTCTGAAAATCCGGGACTTCCCCAATGTGCAATCTCCATTTCCTAATCATTACAACACGCTGTGCTGCAGTGTCAATGGCTTGTGGTTTAACCTGGTAGGCAGGGGCACGTCCGTTCACTGCATAACCGAGAACAAAATTTCCACACAAGCTTCAAAGTCTCCACAACAGTAACTGTTTTTATGTAGGTCAAGGCTGGTTTAACGAGA